AAAAAAAAAAAACCCCCCCCCCCCTCTGTTCTCGAATCTGCTCAAAAACCGGGCCTGGCTGGTAAGTCAGGGCTCAGTGAGCCATGAAAAGCATTCCAGGTCGTTAACCCTGACTGTTAACTCAGTTATATTTTCTTGTCTCAGAAACGTAAACCGAAGGCTTTTAATCAATTAAATAAAAAGGTGGCCTACGAATTGGAAAGGAAAATCCATTGATAAAGATTCTGCTTCGCCAGCAGGTTTCTCGGGCTGGGCAGCTTCAAACGATCAATAATCATTGGAAGCGTATTTGCGCTATGAAGCAAAAGCGGAACTTCATAGATATTTTTAACGTCATAAATGCAGACCACCTGAAGAAAATGCCAGTCGCAGAACGCAGTACTGAAAACCAGAACCAAAAGTTTATGTGCATTCAATTTTAGAGCTTTTTCGTTAAAACAAACTGCCACAAACGCTACAGGGCTGTGTGCAAATTACAGCTTGCCAGAATCGGCCAGATCGGTGAATATGATGATTTCGCCGTTACTGTAATGCGTCTACCATACTTAACGAAACCGTGCAAAAACCCATCAGTCGTGGCGCTTTAACATATTCTTAATTAAAATCACGCAAGTGCCCAACCCTCCCGGACGGGCCAAGCAAGGGGTTTTGCCCTGGAGAAAATCTGTAAACGCTGCTCGTTGCGCATAAAGTCCAAGCTGCGAACTGGCCAATGCTGCTTACAGTACAGCTGTTTCTGAAGTCGCTGTGGTTCTTTACTACCAGACATATTTGCCTCTCATGAAACACGCTTTTCAAGCCACTGGCTCGGCTTAACAAAACAATCGTCAACAGCACAAGGAATGCGTTTGAGTGGGAAGCCCAAAAAAGCAAGCACAAGGAAACATGCCTAATATTAAGATACCTGTTCGGGTTCCAACATGCCAAAAGCGGCAATTTTATCGCGCAATGCATTGCTTAGTTGCTGTTCACTTCGACAAACCAGCAAATCTGGTACTAAACCGCTGGCACGCAAATGGCGCATGCTGTTTTGCATTGGTTTGGTCTTCGGCTCGCCAGTGCTTTTTGGATCGACGATAAGTGAGACATGAACTGTAAAAAAAAAAAAGTCGACAACTCCCAAAATTCCACCAAAATTTAAAGGCAAAACTTCATCCAAAAAAAAAGTAAAATGAAATACTATGTGCAACTGGTGTTTGATGCCTAAAAACTTCTGCACGACTGAGATGCGATAATCTCTTCTTTCTAAGGATTAATGCCGATAGAGGATGACCGTTAAAAGACATAGAATACATCAAACATCAATAATTTCTCTTCGGAAGTAAGGTAACGGAAGCAGGAGGCAGGAACGCGAGGAGCACCAGCAGGTTAGCCGCATGGCATGCAAGAAGGCTAACAGCCGATTCGGCAGCGCAAAATGGCACGATGAAATGGTTGCAGCTCATCAATGTATCAAAGAGGCATGTATATTCCAAACGAGCAAGGACTAACAAAGTGAAGAGCTCCGAATGCCACTAAGATAGAGAACTGTACGCCAGTAGCATTACTGCATAACCTACTGTGGAGCTCTGATCATTTCTACTTCAAAACACTTCACTCACTCCAAATGATCAAAGACCGAGGAGTAAAAATGTACCTGTCATAAGACGGTCTCTGAACGCCGGCCGCTGGAATTTCTCAAAAGCGGCAACAAAAGGCATTCCCTCAATATCGCCAATAGTACCACCAAGCTGAAAAAAAAAAATCAATCCATTCAAACGAATGCGAGTGATCTAAAATCAAAGCAAGCCATTCGACCCGGGCTTGAAAAAAAAAGCAACAATCAATGAACATAAGAACTTCGATATGAAACATCCCAAATGCACCTGACTCCACGTATACTGATACGCTAGCGTGTCAGTGAATTCCACTGCATCGTAGCTCCGACCAGGCCCTGCGTGTGTGTGCAACCTTGAAATGGCACTTGGCATTTTTACACTTAATTTTGCCACGTAATGCAGTCACTATCAACTTTATCGCATGACACAGTTTTCGTAGTTTCCTGTTTCTGTCACTGTACTTCTAATTCACACCGCAGGTGTTCTCAAACACTGGATATGTTTACACTTCGATGCAAATTCGAAAGATATTACGCAAAATTGCCGGTTAAAAGATATCAGTTCAAGTCTGCACAGCTCCAAGCAGATCGGCATCATCTTCTGAATAACTCAAAAGAGGAGCAAAGCCTGCCCAGAAACAACGGGCATACTTCAATGATGCAAACATCGGGTCGTTTATCGCTCCCATCAACCGGAATGGCGGCAACGCGTTCCACCCATTCGATGATTGCACCGGTTATGTGTGGAATTGTTTGCACAGTCTTCCCCAGATAATCACCACGTCTTTCGCGCTCAATAACCTGAAATTTTATCAATTTGCAAGCAAGTAATCCATGGCCACGTAAATTCACTGGTACGCGAGGCTGCAAGATAATCTACGAATGTCATACACGATGCCATTTCTAAGAAACAACAAGGAATTAAAAAAAAAACTACGAATCCCTCTTCTCTCTTACAAGAAAATTCACTAAATTATGTGTATACAATATTCCAAAAAATAAGACTGGCCAACAAATTGTAATGAAAAGGCTGCTTGCTCTGTTTCCTTTTTTTTTTTTTTTACACCTGAGGGGTATCGGAAATCGGTATGTGAATAAACAACAATGCCGAATTGTCAAAAGGACTAAAAATAAAACAAACAAACACAAAATTTAATTAGCAAAAGCAGTTAAGTTCAAAGAAAGTACTACCAAGAAATAAAAAAACCGAATCTGAATAAGTTCGGGCGCATAATGCCAAAAAATATAAATAACTGAAATCCAGGACTACTCCCATGAAGATAACATAGAGGGGAAAAAAAAAGCCTATGTCAGGGCGGCCCTCCATCCTCCGTTTTTCCTCACCTTAAACACATATTCACAGGGTAAGAGAATTCTACATTGGTATTAAAAATGTGTGACTGGAGACCTGCTGATATATCTTGCCGGTGGTGATGTTGTTATCGCGAGAGAGGCGCACATTCAGAAATCGTTCATAATTGCCGAGATCGAGATCCACTTCGCTCCCGTCATCCAGTACAAATACCTCACCTGCAATAATATTCGTGTTTGTCACAACGTATCCACTACACAGAACGCAGCTCAATGAAATTTCGACATATATGAAGAAGCGAACGTTCCGCGCACATTCACTGGTCCTTTTATACGCTTATCAGCTACATATAGTACATGTTTTTGACTAAACATCTCATCAACTATAATAAATTTCTATGCTTTCACTCCCCATCCCTTCGCCCACTCGACTGCTGGCCTCAATTCTGAAATGGGTGATTCTGCGCCAAGGAAGTGCAAGCATATCCTTCTGGCCTGTCTATAAAAATCTCTGGTTCAAACAAAAAAAAAAAAAAAAAAAAAA